TTAATGAAATCTGTTGGATTCTCATGGGGTAATTGTTCAGGCAGGTGGCCGACACAAGCCAGTTCCTTTTCTCTGCCTTGTCCCAGACCCCACTTCTAGGAAACTGTTTTCTGTGACAAGGATTTGGAAAAGGATGAACTTTTATTTTTCTGCCATAGATCACCCATGTAGTTTATCTGGGCATTGTGTTGCTTGTCCTAACTGTTCTATTTATGTAAGCAGCCAACCATTTTGGAAATCTCTTAACTTTCATCATGTTCTTATTAGAGAGATTAGACATTGTTTTTTGGTTTTATTGGGTTTTTTTTGTAACATCGATGGAGTGATCCTCAGTATTACTACAAAAGTTCCGTTTTTTAACATTATGGGCTCAGATGCCATAATTTCTTAAATACTGGCTCCCCAACCCAGCCCTGGAGCTGATGAATGGCGCCCTGCAGCCTAGAGCAACGCCTCACTCCCAGCCAGGTCCCACTTCAGGGCAGCAAGCTGCAGGCAGGGACAGTCATGGGCTACGCTGGCCCCGCCCCACTCGGCTGCCCACCCCCCGCCCCGCCCTTCTCAGGTCATAAATATCTGAGGGAAGGGAAAGAGCTAAAGCAGATGACTTTTTCAAGGCAATACTGCCAATTTCCTGCTCATAAAAGTTGCACCAATTTACCTTTTACCAACAGCGGCTAAAAGGAAAGATATGAGAACCTGTGTGACTTCCTCATGCCTCTTATTCTTATTTGCTGTTAGAGCGATTGACAGTAAAACCCATAAAAGACAAGAAGGTTGTAAAAGATGTCAGAGAGCCACAAAGGGTACAAAGAAGATGACAGCAGGAAATTGATACATTAAAAGCTTTAAAAAGTCCCCACGGATAGAAGAAAGGTAGATGGGGACGGGCACGGATGGAGGTGTTCATTTCTGAGCTACACAAAGCCTCCCTGGGCAGGATGGCGCCTCGACTTCCCTTGCCCTGATGTCTGAGTACAGTGCTGGGCGCTCAGCAGGGCTCGCTCACATGGGTCTGGGGGAGAATCTAAAAGTGGATTTAAAAGTGGCCGCCCACAAGAGGAAGGGATAGGGGACAGTGGAATGGGGGGCCTGGTCAGCTCCAGGCATAACTAGGAACAAGTGTCAGGTGGAAGAGACCTAAATGCCTTCAGATAAGCAGCTCTCAACAACCTTGGGCTCATTCTCAACAAAGAATAGAAAGGAGGGCATCATCCAGGCTTTTTTGGGTCATGGAACCTAATCAACTTTCCATCAAGTCATCAACAAGCTTCTCCCCAGCACCCATTTAATACCTAGCCCTTGGGCTGGGCCCTGCAGGGTTGCAGATGAGGTGCAAGCTGTATCTGCCTAGGAGGGGCCTGTGGTCTTGGCGGGGGGGCCAGAGCAGTGGGCCCAGGAAAGCACCACGATCCACACAGGACGGTGGAATGTCAGACTGTGCCCAGGGTGCGAGATGGTGCAGTGGAGCCCTGAGAACAGCCCCAGCTCCAGCACTTTCAACCAGGCCCACTTTTGCAGCTGGCTCTCTAGCTGCAAAAGTGAATCTTCAGGTTCACCTGTCCCTGGCAGGGAGGGGCTGGGGACGCATCCAAGTATGTCTCCTGAGAGTTCTTAGGATCAGACAAAAACCCCAAACCCAGCTCTGCTGCAAGGGTCTGTCAACATCCTCATAATTGGATATGTGAAGTGCTGACATATTTACCCTGCTTATTCACCGCCCCATCCCTCGGAGGAAAACTGATTTCAGGCACTTGAGGACAGAGAAATAGCAATGACCTTTCTGCAGGACTGATGATAACTCGCTCCTTATAAGGAGCAGACAAGAGCCCCACACTCATGGCTCAGGAATGTGTGTCTCCGTGCGTGTTCCTTCTAAACTTACCTGGCAGTGGGCCTCCACACCTGAGCCCAGCATTTCCAGGACAGCAAAATGGAGTGGGCTCCTCTTCTCCCTCAGCCAAGAGAGTATTGATTGCTGCAGATAATCCTAACAGTAAAGTTTCCCAAACAGCACTGTAATTGGATTAAATTCGACCAATGACCCGTTAAAAGGAAAAAAAAATGTTTTCTATTATTTGAGAAACAAACAGCTATATAAACTCCTGCCTTGTAGTGAATCATTATATAACCCCAACTTTAAAAAAAAAAAGGTCAAAATTCACAGTGATCCAAAGCCAAACGTCCCTCCAGGAGCTAACAGCAATAAGTCCGCAGTAATTTCAGCTATTCTTTACTTTCCCCTGCATCAGACACTTCACTTATGATCTGTTTGTTCCTATAGTAACCCAGTAATCATGCCCATTTTACAGATAAGGCTATTGAAGTTCAAGGAGAGGTTAAGTCACTTGCCTGAGTTCACCTGGCTAGCAAGTGGAAACAGAGATTCGAGCCCAAGTATTTCTGACTCCAAAGCCAGCAACGTTCTTTCAGTGAGACCCACAAACCCCTGCATGACTCTCCTACTGCCCACGATGAGCAGGGTCCCTTCTGGGCTGTGCAGGGTGAAAAATGAAGATGGCCCCTCAGACCTGTCCTATTCCTCATGAGGACTTCCAGATTTTCGAGGATAAAAGAATGTTGGACTTAAACTGTTTTTCCTTCCAATCTTGGGTTGCTTGGAAAAACATGGAACCAGAAAGACAAATCGCTGAGTGTTCTCTCTGCTCAACACTGGAGGAGCCCAGCCAGCAGGGCAGCCTGAGGTCTTCTTATGAAAGGCTTTATGGCTGAACTGCCCTGTCCCTATCCTCTGCCTGCCACCACCACCCATCCAGGCTGTGTGCTTCTGGCCCCTGGAGCTAGTCAGTTGAGGAGTCAGACATACCCCCATATTCCATGCACTTGCCCAGACATGCCGACACCTCGACCCATTCTTCATTCAAACACACATTCATCATTCGTGCAAACAAATATTCTGTACTCATTATATGTGCAAGGCACAGTCCTAAGGTCCTGGGGTGGGTGGGTGGGTAAGACAGAGATGGTCACTGCCCTCTGGGAGCTGACATTCAGGAATGAGGAATAAATAACCAACTAGTTAACTGCTTGACTATAATCATATAAGTCCTGCCAGGATTGCTGAGTTGTTAGGAGAGTGCAGAATTGGGGCAGGGATAGAGGTCCAGCTAGGACTGAAGGATCAAGGAAAGTCTCCCCAGGAAGAAGACAAGATGGCTGGATGCACAGAAAGAGGGGTCAGTGGTACAGTGCGAGGCCAGAGGGGTAAGCAAGGTCCGATCCTGAGGGCCCTTCATGGGTCTGGACTTTATCTTTGAAATGATGAGACTCCTTTGTAGGGTTTAGGTGGTGACTGATACGTGTGTATAAATCAGGGAAGAAAAGAATGATGTGTATGCCAACAAATTCTAGATCTTTTGGCTTTTGGTCCCTCTGAAACAGTAAATTTGTAGTAACTTAAAGGCTGTCCCTCAGAGGGGGGCATAGTAAATGTTTGTTCTTGACAATGGTGATTTAAGCTCAGGAAGTGAAAGTGGTCCACCACCCCTGCCAGCCGTCTCTTCCCTGGCTAGCGGAATGCTCTTCCCTGCCTAGCCAAACTCAGAGGTGGGCCCCTTGAGGCCCATTCAGAGAGGTGGATCTGGGGGCAGGGGGTAGGGGGAGAGGTAAGGCAAAGAGTAGAGTGGTGCTGGGATCTCGCCCCTTGGTCAGGATTGTCTTTTCCTGGGGCCCATCAAGGGACCTCCAGTCAGCATTCTCAGAGTCTGAACTGACATGTTTCTACTGAAGACTGAAGCCTTTGGTTCTTGAGCCTTTTTCCATGGCAACAATGAAGGCCTTGCCCCAGAGGACCCATTGAATTCTCCTCTCTCCCTACCCTCCTGGGACCTAAGTGCCTGGAAGGAGGCACGCCATTCCCGACTGACTCCCTAGGAGGAATGTTTATGGTGGAGACTCAGAGCTAGCTGGGGCCGAGGGAGGGCATGGAAAGGAAAGCTTGGGATGTCAAGAAGGATTTTTGATCAGTCTCGTGGTGGGAAGGCAGCAAGGCCAAAACACCTCTTAAGACTGCTGCATGACCCCGCCAAGAGACAGTTCTGCCGTTGAAAGCTTGACTTGCTCAGAACTGAGGAAGATCGAAACACACACAGACACACGCCCCTTACGCTTCTTAGTTAGGGGAATGTTAATCTTTCTTTAAAGTGTTGTTCTTAAAATTATATTGGGAGACCACATTTTTTTTTTTTAACTTGTGGAGAGTATGTCTCCATGTCTCAATAAAATGTGATTAAAATAAAAAAACTTCCTCTAAACATGACTAAATTTAGTGTCAGTGACCAAAACACCTGCCAACTTGCAACATTAGCAACCTCGCCGCAATGCCTGTTCTGCCAAGCCCTTTTCCTAGTATTTTGTGCGTTACCACACATCTGAAAATTTTCCATGGCACTTGTCCCCTCCAGAAAAGTGCTGGGAGTGAGTTCCCAGGCAGTGCTGCTCACATGAGCCCACGGGCAGCTTGTGGTGCTCCTATCACGCGATGAAAAGAATGTGAGAGAAAACAGATAAGGTCTGAAACGGACAAAAAAAAAAAAGGTGGGAATTTCTAAACCAAATGTTGTCAGTTCTGCTTCGCAGCCATCAAGAATGGATAACCAATTAGCAAAAGGCCAAATATACGTGTGTGGCATTGCCTGGGGCAGTGGCCAGATCCAAGAGCATCGTGTCTTCAGATGGCCTCCAGCTCTGTGGCTTCCAAGCCAAGCCATTGGACAGTCTTTGCCCGGTGCTGGGGCTCTGATCCCAGCCGAGGACGAAACGTTTCCTTGCTCTCCAGCTTGAGATAGTGGCTTGTGCCTTGGCTGGGGTGTCAGGAAACTGTTCTAGAAATAGCCAGCTCTGCTTGTTATCAGCTGTGGGCTTTGGCCTGGTCTTCTATCCCAGGGGTGTCTTTATTTCTGTATCTCTAAAACGATGGCAACAACTCAACAACGTTCGACTGAGGACAGACTGTGTGTCAGGCTAAAATGGGTATGAGTTAGGATATCGCCATCCCTTCGATGATAGTGAAGTCGTGGATGGAAGACATGGAGTAAGTACCGCGTGTGAGGTGACTCCGAATAGTAGAGCATCCCCATTTACCCAGTGAACGTTTAAGAGAGGACCTTGTTGATGTGAATGTAAAAATGTGTCAGGATAGAAATGAAAGAGAAAAACTGCATATAATAGTTAATAGTTAATGTATTTTAATTACTTATACATACTTAAAATCACATATGCTATTCGTTAATTTATAAACACTGATTAACATGTTAATAGTTTAAGTGGGGTGCGTGGGTGACTCAGTTGGTTAAGTGTCTGCCTTGGGCTCAGGTCATGATCCCAGGGTCCTGGGATGGAGCCCAGCATCGGGGCTGCTTCTCCCACTGCTTCTCCTTCTGCCCCTCCCCCACTTTTTAAAAAAAAATTCCTTTTTTAAAAAATTTAAACTCAATTAGCCAACACATAGTACATCATTAGTTTTTGGTGTAGTGTTCACTATTGCTGGTTAATATGTTAATAGTTTAAGTTATATATTTAAAAATCACATCATGTTTGTGATGCAGACATATGGCCTTTACCCACTCACAATGCAATCCATTTAATCAAACTCTTCCAACGTGCCTTATGCTTCAGTGTCTCAGTCTTCAAACCAACTTTCAGAGCTTATCAGCTGCAGATCCATCCAGGTTGCTTGACCTTCAGCACTTTTTAAATCTAGGAATGATGTTGTCATTGGAAAATTTTACTCCAAGTTACAATAATCCTTATTTGTGATTTCATACGGTAACCACTTATTTTTAAAAGATAGTATGTGGTAATATTGATTTTTAACATGATCTTTATATGGTTTGTTCACTGTGGCCTCCAACATTCAGCAGTTGAGGGGGCAGATCCCCAGGAATAAGTGCCAAATGTGTGTCATATTTCTCTTTCCCCTACTCTCCTATATTGCTAGGAGTCGTCCACAGGATCCCACATCAGCATCGCTTTAGATGGCTTAAGACTAATATGTCTTCATTTTGTTGTTCAAAATAAAGCGATTGAAGAAGTACCCTGTATGCTGTAAAGAAAGATTCTGCAGCAGGTGTCTCTGATCTGAGGTATAATTTCGGAGGGAAAAGGCATGATCATATTTGGCATTCGCAGTAAAAGAGAGTATTCAAAGTCCCAGCTGCCATCCTCCTGACAAGACAGTAACAACATATCCTTGCCTTTCATTCAGTTGAGACAGATTAGAGTTTTCCCAAGGCAATCTTACCAAGAACCAAAGGAAATCTAAGAGCTGAAGACACAGACTGTGGTTGCAGAGGCCCTCTGGGGGTCTCTGTGTTACCGCTCCTTTCTGCATTCTGCAGACGGCAGGCGTCTTCCTGTGCTCTTCTCAGCTATGCTCCCCTCCACAGCAGTCACTGTGGGATGGGGGTGGGGGTGGGGATGATCATAGAAAGCCACCGGGATTTGGAGGACGGCGAACGGACTTCAAACTAACATCTGCCTCTTGCTGGCTTTCAGGCTTTGGGTACATCGCTTCACCTGTCCAAGCCTTGGTTGCTTCATCCATATAGTGGAGATACATCTCTCAGAGAATCTTTGAAGATTCTCTCTGAAGACTAAGTGGGATTGCACATCCAAGATACTCCACCCAGGACCAGTCTGTGCTGAGGGAAGAGTTGCTGGACCCGTCAGCAACTATCAAGTCCCTTCTGTTCCCTTGTGAATTTCTCCGGGTGGACAGTGAATGCACAGGGGAGAGATGGCTCACTTCCTCTTTTCTAGGGATAGCTTAGCAAGACAGTAGTCATAGCAACTACTCTGAACCACCCCATTACTTTTCCAGGGAGGTTAAAGTTTTGTTTGATTTTTACTAAAAGAAGTACCTTCATCAGGGGTGACCTCCAAGTGTTGGGTTAGATTCTTTGATGAGCATCTGATCTGGAAAGAGGACCTGTCACTGTGGTCCAAGGTTACTCCTTGATCTTTGGAGATGAAGCCAACATGTAATCCTTCCTACCTGCACGGGGAATGTTTCCCCAGGCAGAGGAAGGAGGAGGGCCTCATCAGGCCACCTTTGCCTCCTGAACCAGCTGCACACATTTCACAGGGCCAAACAAGTCTTAGCTCTTCCAGGGCCTGAAGAGAAGCAGCGTCCCTCCCCTTCTGTGGTCTACCTTCAATGGGGCCCAGCAAGCACAACAAAAATTAGTTTAACTCTCTCTTAGAGGGGCCTATCTTTGTTGAAGAGCAAACCTTGATAAATATCTAAGGATAGAAAGTGAGATCCTGAATCATGCCTTAGCTCAAGAGAGGCACATCAAAAATTATTTAATAATTGAATCTTAATGTTTAATTAATCTAATTAATAATTGAATCTTTGTGAATTAGGATTTAACAGGAACTTGGGGGTGGAGGAGAGCGGAAGTTTAGTTGTGGAGGGGCTGGCAAGAAAAGATGACAAGCCACATGGTTGGGGGGACAATACACTGCTAAGAACAAGGCAGTCTACTTGACAACTTGCGATCATTTGTTCTGCTGTGATGTGACCCCGCCACACCCTCACCCCTCCAGGAAAACCAGTTTCATGGGCATTCACACAGGTTTGGTGGAAGTCCAAGGAAAGGGCCGAGCTCCACACATGGGTTGCCTTGGTGTGAAACCAGACCAGCATCTACAGAACAGGAAGCAGAGTTAGAAACTGAATTCATTGGGGACAGGAACTCCGAGCCAAGGCTGATCATGAGCAAGCCTCCTTAGAATTTGCAGATGTCTGAGGGGGTGAGTTGTATTTTTGATCAGTCTATGAATTGCTATTTGAGCCCAGCCTGATGTGCCTTAAGGGACAAGGTGGGATTCTCCTGGTGTCATGCGCGCGGCACATCCTGGACCAACGCGGCCAGTTTGTCCCAGCATCGTTGGGGCAGCATTGCCAGGATCTCAGGGGGGTGTGCCCCTAAAGCAGTGAGCTCTGTAGTGGATCATCTTGGAGATAACCACCCTCTTCCTAGCCTGTCTCTCTCTCAGAGCAGATTTAGGGCCAGCAGCCAGGATCCTTCAGCAATCCCTCCTTCCTTTGTTCTGGGTCTCCAGCCTTCATTGGGCTTCCATCTATCGTGTCCCTCTGAGATGGAGGTGGGCAGGTGGTGGCCCTCACCGCCATCTGCAGGGGGTGTCAAGATACCTCCCCTCCACCTTCAAGATATACAGAAAGAGTTCCAGAGAAGTTTAATTGCAAGTCGCAGTATCAGAGGGAGGCTCTTCCTATGAATCACAGCATTCTCCCCATCCCAACCCTGACTCCCATGTTCCAGGGACGAGCTAGCCAAAAGAAGCATGTGGGACATCTTTAGGTGTTTACTTCTCTCCTCTGCCAGACACAGCATTATCTGGGCTCTCTATATCATCCAGATATCTGATTTCTAGCCAGGGTCTCTTCCTTCTCCAGACACTCTATGGGTTTCTAGAAGTTGCTATGTTGACCATGGAACCCCTTGGCCTTAGACCTGACATATTTCTCCCTTCCAACTTCTCCTCCTTATCAGCTGCTTCCTTGGCGAATATTTAATAGTGAAGAGCCAGGGCCCCACAGGCTCACATCTGTCTTGTCTCTCAAAGTTTCAGTAGACTCCCTGGCTGAGGGTTTGCCCTTATTGGGATCCTGCAAGATTTCTGCCACCTAGGTCTTCTGACCTGCCCCACCCCCCCTTCTTCCTGGGGACATTCCTCCATCCCCTGCCTCTCCCTGCCAGGATGCTTCTTGGCAGAACCATTGGCTTGAACTGTTGCTGGACCTCCGGGAACATGAAGACAAACGTATTGAGAAAACCCTAGGTTTTAACTTAGCCCTCTCCCCACCAACCATCTTGCTCTGGGGCATTTGTAAAGTGTCCTCAGAGCCTGGTCATGGTCTCTGACACATCTTTCTGCCCTTAGGAAGCCCCCCCCCCCAACTCCCTTTTAGACTCTGCAGAATTCACTATGGTCTTCCTATTTTGAATAATACTAGCTAAAATTTATTTAGCACATTATATGTACCAGGCACTGTACTAACCACTTTACATTCATTGTCTCGTTCAGTTCTTACAGCAAGCCTGTAGGATAAGAGCTATTATTATTCCCTCATTTTGGCAGGACCATTGGCTTGAACTGTTGCTGGACCTCTGGGAACATGAAGACAAACATACTGAGAAAACCCTAGGTTTTAACTTTTACAGAGGTGGGAACTGAGGCACTAAAAGGCTGGATAACTTCCCTACATGGCCAGAAAGGGCCAGAATCATGGTTAAAACACAGCTAACTCCACAGTCTGTGCTCTTTACATCTATATTATACAGTATCTTACTGGGCTTTATTATGTCTGTCAGTTATTCCCTTAACTAAAGAAAAGAACTACTGACTTCCTGACTGCCCAGTGAGGACATGAGTATCTGTGGCTGATTGTCCTTAGCCTGGCATATGTAATGGGTATCCAGTAGTGTTTGGTGGATGGATGGATGGATGGATGGATGGATAGGTGGATAGATGGGTGGACAGATGGACAATGGATGGGTAGTGGATGGATGGATGGATGGATGGATAGGTGGATAGATGGGTGGACAGATGGACAATGGATGGGTAGTGGATGGATGGATGGATTGGAGGATAGTGGATGATGGGGGGATGGTTGGATGGATAGGTGGGTGGATAGTTGGACTGCCATGTGATCTAAGATCTTTTGTGCAGAAGAACATTTTGGAATACAAGGAATGCAGATAATCCAGAGCTGCACCCTCTCTGGCTGTTTTGTTGCTTTTTTCTCCAAATCCTACATGCTCTTCTGTTTGCAGGAGGAGGACTTTCTCTAGGTACCTAACCCCACAGAACAAATAGAGCAGCTATATTCCTAATAACAGTTACTTCCACCTGTATTTATTTTCTTAGATGCTTCATGCTAGCTTTGGAATTCAAAACAGATTTGCACAGGGAGGCTCAGTTTTTAGTAAAACTAGCTCTTCTCTGATCCTTGTGGGGGCCGGTGGCCCAGACCTGAGTCAGGAGCATCAGGCTCTGGGATTT